TACATACGATTGTTAACAACCGGTTCGTGGAGGTCATTAAATTCTAAGAACAGGTTCGCATGAACCGGGTGAATCCCACCACTGTCAGAAATCATATTATAACTACAACACACTACAGACTTGTTTTTTTAATTAGATGTAATAAGAAATTAATTACTGATACAAGAGGGAAAAATAATTGCATACCAGGACAAGTAATCGAGTTGGGTATATAATATATATGAGTGTGTATGTGTATCTGTTTATCTATCTATCTTACATTAGGATCCAAAGTTCAAGAGCCACCATCTAAACTGACCAAGGGAACTCTTGCGCAGAAACCATATGATGGAGCCACTCCACCTCTTTCTACGTCTAAGGTATTCCCGTCCATTCCAGAACCAGTTATTGTCAAAGATAAAATGGAACCTATCAAGGGTTTTCAGAAAACCATGGTGAAGACCATGTCACAGTCTCTGGCCATCCCCCACTTTGGTTACTGTGATGAAGTATGTGTGACCGAACTAGTAATGCTTCGTTCAATACTGAAAAAGAAAGCTGGAGAAAGGGGTGTTCGCTTTTCTTTCATGCCATTCTTTATTAAGGTGAGAGTCATAAAGAAATAATTATTTTTGAAAAATATCAAGATTAACTTTGTTGTAAGTAAAATTTACTGAACACAAAGCTGTTGAGTGGTTATTAAGTAATCACGCACACACATACATTTTATTAGTTACACACACAATCTTTTGAAGTTAGATTTTTCTAAAGAAATGAAAACTGTGACTTGATGGGATTCAAACCCATGACTGCTAATGAAACAGATGTTTTAGCCAAATATACTACTTTCTATTAAATGCTGCAAATCTATGAGAGGAAAACTAAAGTTATTTTGTATTTGAGACACAACATCTGCCTAGTTAGCAGAGTCGAGAGTTTAAATCTTGGCCATCATTCACTTTTTAACTCCCTCCCCCCCTCAGAAGAAATTCTAATATATATACATAATTTTCTCTTTTTAAGAAAATGCAACTTGTGTACTTTATCCAAGTGATATCCTTTACAGAAATGTACAGAGTTGTTGAGTCAGTAACTGAAAAAAGTAGCTTTTATTTACATAAGAACACAATACAACAAACTAGCATTATTTTTCGTGTATATTTTCTCCAGGCAGCATCGTTGGCTTTAAACCAGTTTCCTGTTCTAAATTCATCAGTGGATGAAAAGTGTGAAAACATTATTTACAAGGTAAGAACACCTTCTCACTTGAAACCTGAGATACACTGGCTGTAAAATAGGTTTAATAATAAATAAGACCAGAATCATGTGTGGTAAATAATTCAGCTTTATTTAGTTGATTTTATGTATGTTTGTAAAGTTCAAGTTTGCTTTTTTTTTCATTTATCACAATAGGAATGGGTTTTAGTCGATCTTTACAACTGATGAAGTGTCTATATATCATCTGACTTTGTGAGTGCATTTTTAGCTGAATTTTATAAGGACAGTTTTGACATTCTTACTCTGAATGTGACCTGTATATGCTTATGTAAACAGACCAATATTCCCTCCAATTTGTTCAATCCATGTGCAGAATGAATTTTATCATGTGCACCAGTATCAAGGCAATGTGCATTACCAGTTTTGTTTTTTTTAGTGGGTGGGTACTTTTAGACCATCAACCCTATTGGATCATTAGGCCGCTTTGCAATGCTATCATTTGGTTATTTGGGCTTTAGACCTCTTGACTGCCAGGGTCATTAAGGCTATCAATGTGTTGAGACTCCTCATCATTACTGAGGATATGCGTGGATATGCACGGCACTTATTGGTTGTTGCGTGGAATGTGCAGCTTAGAGGGAACACTGTGAGAGACTCGTATTTTTATACTGTTTGAAATCAGATAAAAAGGTAAAGCAGAAGTGAGTTTTTCTTTGTAATAATTGTTTAATATAATTGCTTTAAATATTTTTTGCACATCCTGTTACAAAGCTCATTTTGAAATAGAATTTGTTTTTAACTTTATACCAAAATTATGATACATTTATAATGTATCTGAAAGTGCAGAACCTGTAAAAAATATCACAGCTGCATTTTGTTTAATATTCAGTAACATGGTAGATATTTTGTTTTTAAAATAGGTGATGCATCTTAACAGTATATTTACTTTGAATGGTTCAGTGGTAGATATCTAGAAGGTGTCGTATAATTGTGAGTAAAAAACGTTAAGATAAATCATCCAAGAAAGGTATAACATTCTTTTGGTGTCAGTTCAGGTTGATAAGAACATCACAGAACAAAAGTTGAATAGAAACTTTAAATAATTCTATAGATCTGAAAATCAGTGATTTTATATTCAGTCAGCTCACAACATAGGAGTTGCCATGGATACACAGCAAGGACTAATTGTGCCAAACATAAAGAATGTTCAAAACCTAAGCCTACTCCAAGTGGCTACTGAGCTAAACAGACTACAAGAACTCGGTGAAAAAGGCCAGCTAGGTTCTTCCGATCTGACAGGAGGGACTTTTACATTGTCAAATGTTGGAGTTGTGAGTTGTTTTAATACAAAAAAAGTAAATTTTAGGTATTTTAGTGGAAGAAAATGTAACTTATACTTTAATGGAGGAGTAGTAAGAAATGAATTTTTTCACTGAATAATAACTAATTTTGTGCGATTGCAAGTTACGAATATATCATGGTATATTTGACAGCTCAGTAAGCTTTTATAAAAATTACTGGTTGATAGAGGTTTTGTTACTTGTAAGATTAAGAGTTGTTACATGTACTTGCAGCATTAGCACTCTAGATACACACACACACATATCTGACAACTAGTCTTCATTTGATATTTGCTGATGTGGATTTGTAATGCCCCCAAAAAATGAAATTATGTTTCTTGTGAACATTATCTTACAGACTCGTTATAATTTTTAGCTTATACAAAACCTAATTATTAATCAGATCGAGTGAGGAAGTAAAGTGTGATGCTTTAATACATAAGCTTTTGTTACTCTTCTTGTACCAAATCTTATTACTCTTATTATAACTGGTTTCTTAATTGTTTACATAATAAAAAATAAACATTTTTTTTAAACAATGCATTTCTGTATTATCTGCTTGCTTTAGATTGGTGGTACCTACGCCAAGCCTGTTATAGTTCCTCCAGAAGTTGCAATTGGTGCTGTTGGTAAAATTCAAGTAAGTTTGGTTTATTTGCTTGAGAAAAAAAAAATGATTCACAGATTTTTCATTATTTATCCTACTCGTAAGACATTATTTCAAAATAAAGAGCGTTTACTAATAGAGAAGTTAAATTTTACATTAATCAGCAGTTTTGGAAAATTTGTGTACGTGTTTTGGAAATTTTTGCTAAAAATTCTAATTTTATTAACATAACTTTGTTTTTAGAAATTTCAAAGCACTGCTACTTAAACTTTGGTTGGTAACTAGGATTAGTTCTTTAAATAAAAGTCCAGAGATCCAGCTTTTCATTGGATTTTTTTACTATAACGTTTCGACCACTCGTGATGATGGCCACACAAGTGGTAAACAAAAAATAGACAATCACCACCTCAAAAGCTGTATCTCTGGACTTTTATTTAAAGTGTATAGTGGGTTTCCTCTCTTCACAACAATAGGTTTAGTTCTTGTTTTAAATTCGTAGAGGCTTAGAGAAAACAATACCACAAAAATTATGTTGGATTTCATTTTAATTCATTGCTATTTGTTAAATATAAAACAGAAAAAGAAAATCTGCACATTTAGGATTAGATGGTGTTTGGTTCTTTAACAACTGTTAGAGCAATTTTCTTAGATTATCTCAAAATTGTAAATATGTTTTTTGTTTATTAATATTTCAGGCTGTCCCAAGATTTGATGAACAAGATAACGTGGTCAAATCCCATGTTCTTCAAGTCAGCTGGTCTGCTGACCATCGAGTTATTGATGGAGCCACTATGTCCAGATTCTCAAACTTGTGGAAGTCTTACCTTGAAGACCCAACAAGCATGCTGTTGGACATGAAATGAAACTAGACTCAACCTAGTAGTGTTTAGGGATCAAATTTGTATTTTATTATATATATCAAAAAAATTCAGTTAAAGGGTTCACTTAAAGGGTTCAGTACAGCCACTCATTCTTCTCTATAGCTATGATGTAAAAAACTTAAGAGAGATTAATATGTTGCATAAAACACTGCCATGTACTAGATTTTTCAGCTATTAAATATTTTTAAATTAAGAAAAAATAATTCTTGTGAAATCTGTATGCTATTGACCATTTTCTTTTGTTAATTAGATGTTTTGATACTTCTTACAAGTATTTTCATCCACTTTTATCTAAATACTGAATTAAAAATATATTAATTAATTACTTTTAATTTGTGACTAATAATCCCAGAAAAACTAGTTATTCTGTAAACTAATTGAAACACAAGGAAATGGAAAAAAAATCTTAGTACACACTATGTTTTCATGTTTTATGACATTAATGAAAGAATTACTTACAGCCATAAGATGGATAATGAAGTAAAAGTTGTAAAAGTCTTAAATATTTATATGAATGATTTCTTTCAGTCTTCTAAAATGTGGATATGAAGATACAAAGTTATTGTATTAATAAAAAAAAAATTACCTAGTTTGAAATGTATTGATAAAAACTGGTCATTTTGGTCTCTCACTTTACTTGTAGGTATAATTATTGCCTTAAGTACAAGTTCACTGATAAATGTTTTCCCATACTTTATTCTCTTTTCATTATCAAACGGTGAATAGATTTAATAAGATAGTGATACTGAAGAACTTTAGCTTTTATTTGTTAAAATTAAAGTTTGCAATTGTCAAGAGGTAATATCATAAGAAAAACAGCTTAAGGTACTATATTAGATATATATAAAAGTCATTTAATTAATGATTGATCATTTTTTAAAAAGAGAATGCCTTGACTTAGTAAGAAAGAAAAGTTTGGTGGTACTGATCTCATTATAAAGATATGACTGGTCATAACCATTATAAATGTTTTTACAAATCAGTTAAATTGGCAATGAGAACTGGAAATATTAATTATGTTAGGTTCAAAAACTATACTAAAATTAAGAATATTTTGTTATCACTATCTTGATA